CTTGGGATTTAACCCCCCTTTTTAAGGACACTCCCTTGCTTCCTGTCAGGGACCATAAACTCTATCCCCCCGAGAGCACTTTTCCCCCATCCCAAATGACTGCCACTTTCTTTAACGTCTATGGTGCGGAACCTATAAAAAACCCTTTTACAAAATCTAAGTAAATAATAAAATTCTTTATTGTGGCAACACCCCTAAAAAGTTTAAACTGAAGAAATTAAAAAATTAGTTAAAAAGCCGGGCCCCCTCTTTTTAAACCATGCTGAGTATCTTTAATAAAACCTATCTTTTCGAGAGGGCTTCTTAAAAAATCTCAGCAAAAATTTTACTCTAAAATTTTGCCTAAAATTGAGGCCCGGGCTTTTTTGGGCGGAAAATTTGACGGTCCCGACTTGCCCCCCTTTTTTAAAAAATAGGAGTTACTTAGCCATTTTCCCAAATTTTCAACACTAAAACTTTTTTTGAAAAAGAAAAATTTAAAAAATATTATTTAAAGGGTTCACAATTTCCCTTTTTTGAAATTCCTTAAAAACCCTAAAAAAAAACCCATGGGTTTCCCCGGCGACTTTTTTTGGGCTTCAGTCTGCCCCTATCGGGCCTCACAACCATCTCACATGACTGGATTTCATAATTTTTATCTTCTTCTACCCCAACGAAAAAAATTTTTTTGGGAAATATTGTTATTGTCTTCCTGTGTAAAAATGAGAAAAAAAAATTTAAATTTAAAATAAAGCACTTTTCATTCCATTGCCAGTAAGGGGCCCATAGTTTTTTTTTTAAGGGGGACCCCCAAATCTCTAACTTTTTTTTCTATGACCTGGAAAAAAACTTTTTTGGGTTTTTTTAGAAAACCCTACAACTTTTTAAATTTTATAGTCCCTTTTAGCTTTTTTCCCTTAAAACCCCCCCTTTTTTTTAAAGGCCCTTTAAAGTCAATTTTTCTGAATTTATAAAATGAAACCCCAAACCCCTTTTGATACGCCATAAAATTTCCCTTTTTATGCCCCCGTAGATATTTTTTGCCTATTATTCCCCCAAATTTGGGGGCATTTTTATTTTTTCTAAAATTTTTTTTATATGGGATAAACGCCTTTGAGCAGCAGTATAGGTTTTAGAAAACTGTCAATTTTTTAGCTCTCTTTTGTTAAACCCCCGTCAAAAAAAAAAGGGGTTTTTTAAATTTTCTCTAAGCCCAAATTAATTTTGCTAAGGGGGGGGAAAATCTGGGACGTTACGGGGTTTTTCGCTACTATCGTACTTTCCCTTCAAAGCTAAATGTAATTTACTTGTGGGCGCTCCCCCCATTTTTCCCCTTAAAAAATTTTTTTAAATTATTTAAAAAGGGGTTTTTTGTTTGCCATAACTAAGTCCAAACCCGGTTATTTTTCCCCGTTTGGTTCGGGGCACAAACTGCTTCAAAAAAAAACCAAAATACTTCAAAAAATCTTAAAGAATTCCCAAAAACCCATCAAGAAATTCCAATCAACAGAAATAAAGTTAAATCTCCTAGAAAATTACTACATTATCGTTTTTTTGTGGGCCTTTAAAAAATTTCCTCCCCTTAGTATTCCCCCTTGGTTTCCCCCCCTAAGTTAGGGGGAAAGGTTTAAATCACTCCTAAAATCAGTTTTTTTTTTGCCCCTCTGAAAATTCTAATCCAAACAGAAATCTGAAAGTGGGTTTCTTTCAACTTAAAAAACCCTTTTTTTTGCAACAGTTTTTAAAACATCTCGGAAAATACAATGGGGCCCCCCCACCCCCCCCCCCCAATACTTTTTATCTTCATTTGGGAAAAATTTAAAAAAACCCGAATATGACATTCCGCACATGTCCCCCCCCTTTTTTGAATTAAACCACTCTCAGTTAAAACAAAAAAAACTTTAATGTTACCTAAACTACAACTAAAACTCAACTCGTCCATCTTAAACCCCCAGCACTAAAGGGAAAATTAAACAAAAATAAACATTGAAAGACCCCTCCTTTCTTTTTTTACCCTTCCCGCTCATTTCCCCTTTTCCCTACTAAACCATTACCGTCCTTATCCCCCCAAGGTCCCTGGCTTTTCAATATCTATCCCCGTTCTTATTAAAATTTCTATTTCCCTAGAACCGAAAAATTACTACAAAATGGGGCTTCACTGTTTTTTTTGCCAAAAAACCCCTACCACTAACAAATTAATTTTTAAAATCCTAACGCTTTCCCCCCACTCAGTTGCCAGTGCTCCCCCCCCCCCCACACCTAATTAAGGGGAAACCCCCATCCCTAGCCATACATGTCATTTTTTGCCATTAAAAAGGGCCCAGTTTTTCAATTAATGTTACCGCATTTTCCTTACAGTATTTTTCCAGCCAGAATTGACCCCCAATTTCCCCTGGGCAACCATTCACTTCCAACTTTCCCCCCCTTGGCAAAATACCACATATGAGAGGGTTTCCCCAAACCCCTTTCTTCTAATTATTTTTTTAAATTTCTGACCTATACCGCCCAATCAGGTCCCACCCTTCCCCCCTACGTCGGCCCCAAAATCGTTGCCCCAGGGACTGAGACAAAATAATAGGATTGCCCCATTTCCTCTTTATTTTTTTTTCATCCAGACGGGTAACAATATCCTCCAAACCCAGCCCCCGGAAAGCAAACCTCGGGCTCCTCTCCTGCCCCTTCCCCGCAGAACGCCCTATCCATAAACCTAACTTTTTCTATCCCCAACAACAACAATATTCTTACCTTCCTTAATGTCCCTTTTGTCGTGTCGTTCCCAGTAATCAACTCACCCTTCTCGGGGAGCACTGGAATGTATTTGGATGTTTCCACAAAAGTTTTTCCCCGGCAGTTCTCCTTTTTTCTTCATCGTTTCTAACCCCTTTTCCCTTCGCCTTTTTAAAAGTCAACTTCTTTTTCCCTGCGTCCAAACCACGAAACCCGTTTTCCCCCTTTTTGACCGAGGACTCCCAAAAAAGGAGGACACCCAATCTTCTTTTTTTTGCCCCCCCCCGGGCAATCCCCCTAATTTTCCAAAATTCCCCCAACCCAATTCTTCCTTAAGCTGTTTGGGAAAGTTGCCCCGATGGGGGGGCATCTTGCTTCAATTCTTTAAGGGCGCAAACGGGCTTTTACCCGAGCCAAAACACGTCAAAAACTGCGCAAATGCCAACCCCAATCAGGAGCTTTCTGCGCAAAACAGGGGCCGCCGGCCCAAAAAGGGCCCGGACATAATGAGGGCAAAAACCTGGCCTATAACCCTTTACAAAAAACCCCGAATTTCAGCACCCATATCCAACACATAACCAAAAAAGGGATCCAAAACGGGTTTGGGGTCCTCCCAAGATACATACTTTCGTGGCCGCAAAAAGCCCTTCCCCACACTAAAACCCTCACTTTTTTTATCCCAAAACCCCACCTATGGGTTTTTTTTCTTGGGCAACTGGCCCCGCAACACAAACCCAAAGCCAATAATAACCCAACAAAAAGCTGCAGTAAGAATAATCACAACACCAGACACAAACATCTCTACGACATTCCCCGTGTCCGACTAAACCTTTACAAAAATTCAATGTATGTCAAAGGCCCTAAAATCTGGAACACCACTACCTGAGAACTCTAGAACTGCAGACACATTCATCACCTTCAAAACTACCATTAGAAAACATCTTATCTCCCTGATACACCCCATCAACTAACTACACGAATACCACCTGGTGGTTCACACTTACACTCACTCACCCATTTGACCATAAACAGAAATATTAATCTCAATCTTAAAATAATGAATCCTATGATACTCCAATACTGAAACTATGAACTGTGCCAAAACAAAAGCATTCACATTGCTAAACTCACAAACTAGTATTTAGTCACTTAGCCATAATACCAACTTACCTCATAATTTTGTAATATTTTAAACTTAAGATTTAATTTAAGTCTGCCCGAAATGCCTAGCCATGCTAGGTGTTCTAGTGGTACACTCTGTAATTATTATTTTACTACATGTAAACCACACAATAACTAAATTCTGTAAACTCAGCATTGTAATCCTTATAGAGAATAAACTTTGAATGACATACACTAACACCCAGGTACCCATTTTATACTGATGGGTGAACAGGGACAGCAGCCACAAGAGTTGTGTCAGGTAGGTAAGAAAGTCAGCATTAGGTGTTAGGAGGGTCTCATTTAGTTAGTTTAATATGTTTATTATGCGCCCCATTATTACTATTATTATAATCAAAAAGAAGCGCTAAGCCACAAGGGCTATACAGCTATGCACCCCATACCCATCCTGTGGGTGGTAGTCAAAAGATTAGATACATAATGGGTCCAGGGACTCTGGTCTCCAAAGTTTTGATAGTTTAACAAATTACAAAGGTAATGAACTCCAGGTATGACAAGTTATAAGTGATGAATCATCTACATAATTACAAACATGAACAAATCTGAGTACCTCTTGGTGCAGAGGACCCCTCAAGGAAGGTTCCTTGATGTTGGTGAGGGGCTCTTGATTTAGGGAATTGGATCTGTGCTCCAGATCCCCGAATTAAGCCTGAATGCCTTCCACATCCCCCCCCCCAGGCGCTGTATAATCTTCCGGGTTTAGCGCTTCCCCCTTGATTATAATAATAATTGGTGCAGAGATCCACCTTGAGATACGTTAGGAGATATCTGCTATATATGTGCTCACCTGTGTTTAGCTGCATGGGTCGAGTCATAGCTCATGGCTCCCGCCTAATATCTGCAATGTTCAATTGAAATTATAATTAGCTTTAAAATTCAGCACCTAACTTTAGTATATTAAATTAACTTGCACACATATATTGAATAAATTTACACGAATTTATAAAATATCTTGCAAACACTACACAAAAATATTGCCAACACTAAAATCACAACAAATAAAACTGATATTATTCTCACACAACAACTAAGTTCGTAAAATATATTAGATATAACCATATTTTTTATTATTAATACGAAAAAAACCTAGGGGAAAAATAGCCCGAGGGTATCCGAGTCCTCATAAAATACGAATAACAATTTGTCATTGTCAGAGGAGAGTTATGGCAACAGTGGTGGACCCGCCATTGAAGTTATCAAGATGTTGGTAAGTTAGCCACACTACCACACTTCAAAACTACAAAAAGGCAGCTGCACTTGCTACCCCGCTCTCACAGTGTTCTCCAATTCCTAGACTGTTACCAATGCAGCAGCGAGCATTGATATACTACAATTTATATCTGAGGAAGCTTGGTAAGTTTGTATTAAGCTCTGAGGAAGCTTGGTAAGTTTGTATTAAGCTCTGAGGAAGCTTGGTAAGTTTGTATTAAGCTCTGAGGAAGCTTGGTAAGTTTGTATTAAGCTCTGAGGAAACTTGGTAAGTTTGTGTTAAGCTCTCAGGAAGCTTGGTAAGTTTGTATTAAGCTCTCAGGAAGCTTGGTAAGTTTGTATTAAGCTCTCAGGAAGCTTGATAAGTTTGTATTAAGCTCTCAGGAAGTTTGGTAAGTTTGTGTTAAGCTCAGGAAGCTTGGTAAGTTTGTATTAAGCTCTCAGGAAGCTTGGTAAGTTTGTATTAAGCTCTCAGGAAGCTTGGTAAGTTTGTGTTAATCTCTGAAGATGCTTGGTAAGTTTGTGTTAAGCTCTGAGGACGCTTGGGAAGTTTGTGTTTAGCTCAGAGGACGTTTGGTAAGTTTGTTAAGCTCTGAGAAAGCCTGGTAAGTTCGTGGTAAGCTCTGAGGACGCTGATTAAGTTTGTGTTAAGTTCTGAGGAAGCTCACTAAGTTTATGTTAAGCTCTGATGAAGCTTGGTAAATTCGTGTTAATCTCTGAGGAAGCTTCATAAGTTTGTGTTAAGCTCTGAGGAAGCTTCATAAGTTTGTGTTAAGCTCTGAGGAAGCTTCATAAGTTTGTGTTAAGCTCTGAGGAAGCTTCATAAGTTTGTGTTAAGCTCTGAGGAAGCTTCATAAGTTTATGTTAAGCTCTGAGGAAGCTTCATAAGTTTGTGTTAAGCTCTGAGGAAGCTTCATAAGTTTATGTTAAGCTCTGAGGATGCTTGGAATTGGTAAGTTTGTGTTAAGCTCTGAGGAAGCTTGGTAAGTTCGTGTTAAGCTCTGAGGACACTTGGTAAGTTTGTGCTAAGCTCTGAGGAAGCTTTGTAAGTTTGTGTTAAGGTCTGAGGATGCATTGTAAGTGTGTTAAGTTCTGAGGATGCTTAGTAAGTTTGTGTTAAGCTCAGAGGAAGTTTGGTAAGTTTGTGTTAACCCTTAAACGGTCCAAACAGATCGACGTTCAAATTCGTAGTGCTACAAAAGTAGATCTACTTTTTTTTACATATTTTCAAATATAACAAAAAAAATGTAGATAAAAGTTTTTTTACACGTTTTCAAATGTAAAACAAAAAAAGAAGATCTTAATTTTTTTTACATACTTTCAGATGTTGAAAAAACGTATATATACGTTTGGACCATTTAAGGGTTAAACTCTGAGGACGCTTGGTAAGTTTGTGTTAAGCTCTGATGACGCTTGATAAGTTTTGTGTTTAGCTCTGAGGAACCTTGGTAATCTTGTGTTTAGATCTGAGGACTCTTTGTAAGTTTGTGTTTAGCTCAGAGGATGCTTGGTAAGTTTGTGTTAAGCTCTGATGGTGCTTGATAAGCTTGTGTTTAGCTCTGAGGAAGCTTGGTAAGTGTGTTTAGATCTGAGGACGCTTTGTAAGTTTGTGTTAAGCTCTGAGGAAGCTTTGTAAGTTTGTGTTAAGCTTGAAGGAAGCTTGGTAAGTTTGTGTTAAGCTCTGAGGAAGCTTTGTAAGTTTGTGTTATGTTCTGAGGATGCTTGGTAAGTTTGTGTTAAGCTCTGAGGACGCTTGGTAAGTTTGTGTTAAGCTCTGAGGAAGCTTAGTAAGTTTGTGTTAAGCTTGAAGGAAGCTTGGTAAGTTTGTGTTAAGCTCTGAGGAAGCTTTGTAAGTTTGTGTTAAGGTCTGAGGATGCTTTGTATTTGTGTTAAGCTCCGAAGATGCTTGGTAAGTTTGTGTTAAGCTCTGATGGTGCTTGATAAGCTTGTGTTTAGCTCTGAGGAAGCTTGGTAAGTTTGTGTTTAGATCTGAGGATGCTTTGTAAGTTTGTGTTAAGCTCTGAGGATGCGTGGTAAGTTTGTGTTAAGCTCTGTGGAAGCTTGGTATGTTTGTGTTAAGCTCTGAGGAAGCTTGGTAAGTTTGTGTTTAGCTCTGAGGAGGTTTGGTAAGTTTGTGTTTAGCTCTGAGGAAGTTTGGTAAGTTTGTGTTTAGCTCTGCACTCAATTGATAGAATAGAATATATACTACAAAAATAAATATGATTTTAATTGGTTTCAAGATGGAAAGTACCTTGAAATTGAGCTCAAAATAGCAGAAATGTTCAATTCTTTGGCGACATCAGTGGTAGACATCATGAGGTAGCAGTGGCAGACAATATGAAGCAGCAGTGGCAGACAACATGAAGCAACAGTGGCAGACAACATGAAGCAACAGTGGCAGACAACATGAAGCAACTGTGGCAGACATCATGAGGTAGCAGTGGCAGACAACATGAAGCAGCAGTGGCAGACAACATGAAGCAGCAGTGGCAGACAACATGAGGTAGCAGTGGCAGACAACATGAAGCAACTGTGTCAGACATCATGAGGTAGCAGTGGCAGACAACATGAAGCAGCAGTGGCAGACATGAAGCAGTGGTGGCAGACATCATGAGGTAGCAGTGGCAGACAACATGAAGCAGCAGTGGCAGACATCATGAGGTAGCAGTGGCAGACAACATGAAGCAGCAGTGGCAAAGTGTAGCATTAAGAGTGCAGCAATTAAGTGTAGCATTGAGAGTGTAGCAATTAAGTGTAGCAGTAATAGTGTGGCAATTAAGTGAAGCATTAAGAGTGTAGCACTTATAAGTCACTCTGTCTGACTTTTTTGGGTTATCCTAGGTTCTCTACACATGTAGTCAGGAGCAGGAATGGCCACTGTGGTGGCCCTATGAACCTCAACAACAATGCCTGCTGTCACCACCACCACTAGCCTCATACCTAATGACATGTATTTTATTCATTCTAGTGTATATATCATGTTTCTATGTTATTAACATTGTTTATTATGTCATATTACATGAATTGTGATAGATAAATAAGTTGTAGAGTTGATATTAGGGAAATTATTAAAGTAGTATTTTCTCGTTCCTGGAATTCCACTGGAACGAATTAATTCCATTTCAGTTAATTTAACCCCTCAGGGAAGGTTCCTTGATGTTGGTGAGGGGCTCTTGATTTAGGGAATTGGATCTGTGCTCCAGTTCCCCAAATTAAGCCTGAATGCCTTCCACATCCCCCCCCCCAGGCGCTGTATAATCCTCTGGGTTTAGCGCTTCCCCCTTGATTATAATAATAATAATCAGTTAATTTAAATGAGGAAAATTGACTGCAAACGAGCAAATCCAGTTGCGAGCAAGGTCATGGAACGGATTAAACTTGTAAGTAGAGGTTCCACTGTATAGCACAGGGCTAGCTGTGATATACACTCATACTGCACCATAAACCTGAAACAGAAAAGCTATTTTCTCTACATAGATTATCACACACAGCAGTGTATGTGTAGAGAACCTAGGATAACCCCAAAAAAATCAAAGTGGCTTATTTCTAGTACCTGGCTTGGGCTAGCCATATATGATTTTTGGTAAATATTCAATTCCCAGCCAGGGTAGAAACATTGGGCGTATTTCTTTACACCTGTTGTCTATGTTCACCCATCAGTAAATGGGTACCTGGGTGTTAGTGGACTGGTGTGGGTCTTATCCTGGTACACTGACCTAATTTGCCTAAAATGCTTAGCATAACAAGGGGCTTTCTATATAGTAGTATGTCCCTGATGTCAGCTAGGCCTGTATACCACGTACATGTACATGTAGTAAATAAAGATATTATTATGTTTATTATTATTTTCTCTCTCAGTTATTTGTTGGGCTATCTTAATGAAATGGGCAATTTATGATGGAAAGATGCTTCTTAACTTGCACCAAAAATGAAAGAAATCAAACCAGCCATTAGTGGCCCCATAGCGGTATAGTTTCGTATGATTTTTATGGTTGTATTCTCGTTTTTTTGGTCTCATTTGATAGAATGGAAGATACATTACAGAAATAGATACGAGTTTGATGGCTTTCACAACGAAAAGTACGTTGAAATTGCACTCACAGTAGCAGATATGTTTAATTATTTAGCAATTCTCAAAAGTAAACAAATGACATCACCGTCTAATACGTGTGTGCCTGCCAGTCCAAATTCCAATACGCAGTCAAGAATGGGTTGACGTTATTTATACAATTATTACAATAATGCAGTAGTATGCATAACAGTAAATCTTCTATTTTTTGTGAATAAAAATTTCAAATGGTAAGCAAGAGTAATATAAGAGGGGCCTGGAGCTGTGGCTAATAAATAGAAAAAATGTTATTGTAGTGCCAGGAATGTCTGCATTGTTTATTCTGGACCCTATTTTGAAATTGAAATTTGTGTAAAATTGGCCAAATTGCCAATTTCTGACCACTTGATTGGGTAATGAAATAGGTGAATGGGCAGTTTCTTGTACTCAGTCGACAGAATAGATGTAAGTAAATAAGTACAGTTGAACCTCAAATTTCGAACATATTGCTTATCGAACTCTTTGAAAATCGACCACTTTTTTCGAACTAACTTTGTCCCTATTATCGAACTCACCCCTATTTTCAAACCACTGGGTACCAGACCTGTCTACCAGCCCACTCTGTCTGCATCCCCGCACAGGCGCCATGAGCCAGTCTGGCTTTGATTATGCTTGAGTGAACATTAACCTGTGGTCTCATTCAAACATTTTACAATTAATTCATTGTGTTTAGTGCTTCTGGGACTGTGAAATAAGCTACCAATGGCCCAAAGAAACTTGCTAGTGATACCCCTGTGGTAAAGAAAGTGAGAAACACCATAGATGTGAAGAAGGAAATAATACAGAAGTACCTGGAGTGGTGCGAGAGGAGTAGAGTGGTGTGAGACTTATTGAGCTTGCCAGGATGTATGCGAAAAACAAGTCGACCATTGCTTCTGTCCTGGCAAAGA